CTTCTGCCCTACATTCACTTGTCAGAGTAGAAACCCAGCCAGTTGTTGAGTTCCAACAAACCATGGGTTACTGCAATATCTGAAGCCACCCCACTGTCTGTGTGTGTCCTTCTGCTGCTCTCCTCACTCTTGTTCTCACCACCACCACATTGCAATCCCTTTAACTGAGCCCTGATGAAAACAGGTTCCTAGAAGGAAATTCTCCTACTTGGCTTTGCACTTTGGCACCCGCAACAGAGACAACCTTTTTAAAAAGCAGATGCCAAGTTTGAGCTCCAGGGAAGCAAGAGAGGCTAAGGAAGGCTTAGCAGAGCAAGAACTGGGGGCCAAACACCTTCTGCACCAATGGATGCCAAAGGCTGCCCAACGGCCACTTGCGGATGAACGCTCACACAGAGCCAGCCGTGAATCTGCAGCAGCCGAGAGCCTGCTCGGCAGAGGGCTGGGAAGCGAAAGCAGTGGACCGACAGGCACCTGGGGCTCCTCTCAGGGCTGAGAGAGGGGACAGACTGGACCAGCAGGCCCTGGAGCAGGGAGGAAAAGCTCATCTCTCCCCGAGTGCTCACCACAAATGCAGGAAAATTAAATGGCAGCTCCAGCCGCTCACGTTTCCACAGACCGCTTCTGTGAGTTTTCTTCTCTGCCTCCCAAGCAGGTAATGAACTCCAATGGCCAGTTGCAGCCTTCAGCTCGCAGGACTTCTCAGTGGGTGGAGTGGTTTACAAGCTCCCGGGGCCAGGGATGGAGTGCAGGAAAATGTCCAGATTATGAGAGGTGCCGAGCTAAGACTGGCCCACTGGCGGGAGGCTGGAGACAGCCCGGCCAAGCGCCTCAGGAAGCCACGTAGCACCTCCCTGGCCAGAGGAGTCCACCTCCGCAGGGGAAGCGGCACTTTGGAAAAAGACGTTTCGACACACACAGCAGCAGCCTTCAAATGCCCAGATCCATTCTGTGGTATTCCATCAGCTAGACAATTCCGCTCAAAGGCTGAATCAAGCTGCCTTCCAATCGGGCTCCAGATTAAAGGTGGGATTCGTGGCCACAAGCCCACTAACGGTTTTCCAAGGGGACGGGCTGAGCTGAGGGAGGAGAGGCCTGCTGAGGGCCGTTCCCTTTGGAGACGCCATGTTACCTCTGGTTGAGTGCACCACCCCTGCAGAGGCATAATGGCGGGGAGCGTTACATCTCCATCTCCTCTCTGACAGCGGCCCAGAGGCATTTGCTGGCCGCATGAGAGGGAGACGCTGGGCCAGGAAGGGCCCCGGCCGCTCTGCGGTTCCCAAGCGCTCGTGCACAGGACTCACCCTGAGTGTGGCTACCGGCCCTCCCACCCGGGATATGTCCCGGCCCTTCTTAGTGACCGCAGCCCAGAGCAGGCCCCGTGCCTCCCCCAGCTGCTGCTGCTGCTGCCACATCTCTGGCCCAGCTGCTGGAACCAAGTCCTTGGAGAGGCTCCTTAATCGGCAAGCCCAGACGCAGCGCATTTCTGTCTGGTCTCATCTTCCTGGTTATTAACTGCAGAGTCGGATTCTCTCGTGGGCCTTGGGCAGAGGGCTCCATTTAATAGACTCGCCAGCCTTTACTCTCACACAGACAGGCCCTTAATGGGAGGCCCACACCACGTGAGAAAGGAGCGTCCTTTCTGGCCAAGCTGGCTGCATGTCAGCCGGGCTGGGCTGGCCTGGGCCGGCCGTGTCTGTTCCTTGCCCTGGAAGTGGCGAAGGGTGAAACTTGGGTTTGGCGGCAGGGGCAGGGCTCAGCTTCTCCAAGCCTGAAACTTTGGGTGCAGCTGCAGGATCCAGAGCGTTGGGGAGTCTGGCCTGTCCCTAAGCTCAGCTCTGCCGTCAGGTGGTGCTTCTCAAAGTGGGCGGCTGTTTTCTCTCCCCACCTCTGGCTGGCCTGGATATTCAGAGCCGGGGGCTGGAGGAGGGTTTCCAGCTTTCTTCCAGAGACACAGAGTTTGACCCTGCCTGACGAGGGTGCTCTGAGCTGCTGCCCGAAGCACTGGTCCCCCCCCGCCTGAGGAGAGAGCTGGCCCTGCTCCAGCCGAGAGAGTAGGCAGCCAAGCTACGGCCTTCAAAAAGACGCCCATGGAGACTGATTCACCCGGCAGCTGAATGGTTGTGCAGCCATGGACGTAGGAGAGCATCTCCCCAAAGGCGCAGCAAGGCTCCAATCCCCGGTGCTATTCTCTGCCTCCCCAGCATCCGTCTGGTGATTGGGCAGGTCCAGTTCCCGCTCTGGCATCTCCATTAGTGGGCCTGTGAAAAGGTCCCAGCCTATCCCAAACTTCGGCAAACGGTCCCCCGTCCAAGGAAGGGATCCCAGGAGGAATCTTCCCGCACTGGACAGAGCGGCTCCCTGCAGAGGGTGTACCCCAGTCCAGCATTTGGCACCACAGGTAGAAAGATGAGCCAATGGCCTGCTCGCCCGTGACTTACGCACTCTCCTTCCGTTGGGTTCCCAACACTTTACAGAAATGCAGTCCCAGAGACAGTCATTATACAATCAATGACAAAAGCAAACGGCAGTGAAAACAGAAGAGGGCCAGAGGCAAAGCCAATCTAAACAAAGAGGCCACACACACACACACACAGCAGGTTTCATTTAAACTGCTTTTACACCTCTTCCCTGTTTCTGGCCTGCATACATGGAAGATAGAAATATAATTTGAAATTCTTGCACACCCAGTGTTTTGATCCAAAGAAGGCAGATATTCAGTCACTTCATTTTGTTATTACTGGTTTGGTCACTCATGCATCGGCGTTCCCTTTCGTCCTTAGTCTTCCTCCCATTTGATCAGCAACTGCCCTCTGCTCCCTGTGCCTCCACCCTCACCTTTCCTCCCTGGGGCCTCCTCGTTTAAAGGCTAGGAAGTGTCGCTGTGTGTGCTGCTTCCTCCCTGGGACAGCTTCTGATCTCCGGCTTCTGCACATCCAGCCCAAGGAAGTGGGTGAACCAGAGGAACAAACCCCATCTTTTGCCTGGCATCGATGCCATGGGCCTCCCACTTCTTGGCATGCGTTGCCCAACCTCCGCGTGTCATCTGCATCTGGTAACTACATCTATCTCTGCCCTGGCTTAGCTGGGAAAGCAGTGCCTGATCTTCTGCCAGTCTGTGCCAGCTCTTTGCCTCAAGATTCATTCTCAAAACTTTGCAGCAACCTTTCCAGGTGATTCAAAAATCCACTCTTGCATAATCGAATCATTTGGCAAAGGAAAACCACATCGATCTGAGCTACAGGAAGGACCTGCTTGAGCAGGTGGGTGCTCATCTCATTCATCTGTTCTGGACCCCCAAAGGAGAGGAAGCAGAGGACTTTGGTGGTCCCAGCACAACTCTAGTGGCCAGGAAGCAGCACCAGGCTAAATCTGGGAGGGAAGGGAAGGGAAGGGAAGGGAAGGGAAGGGAAGGGAAGCAGGAGAACACCTTTCCTCCTTCCCTGGCTGCTTCCCACTGTCACCAAAGGCTGTGGATGGAGCCCAATCACTTCTGAGGAGGGGAGAGAGAGAAGGACTTGGGTGGGATTCACAGCTAAAGTGCCAACGGCAGGATGAACAAGACAGGTTTATTTAGGATGCCAGCTATCCCACAAGCCGAAGAGAATTCATTTGCAGCGTATCAAACTCAATTCCAGAATAATCTAATTGCAGACCTACGAAATTGTTTTGTACAATGAGAGATGAGAACTGTCTTCCCCTTGGATTGTGGAAATGTCCTCTAGATGAATCATGTTGGAAGGATAGCAGATCACACCTGGCAGCCATGGGATCAATTCTTCCTGGGAAATTGTGTTTGTCTCCACCCACCCAACTTCTTTTGTGCCTTCAAGTCCGTCTTGACTCCTGGCCACTGCCTGGACAAGTCCCTGCCGTTTTCTTGGCACCGTTTTCAGAAGTGGTTTGCCCTCACTGCCTTCTTCCTGGGGCTGAAGAGCACAACTGGCCCAGAGTCACCCAACTGGCTTCATGACTAAGGCACAACTAGAACTCACAGTCTCCTGATTTCTAGCCCAGTCACTAGACCCAACTGCTCATCGCTACACCCAAGGCTCAGAGTCCCCTACAATCCTGCGCGAGCCAACCTTAAGAGTGCCAGGGGAAGTGGCCTAGAGCCATCTCCCTGGACCTTGCAATAATTTTCTGCTTTAAGGAAATGGTGAGACCCAACAGTCCCAGATCACAATGCCACATTATTCTGAAAACCCCTCTGCACAACTCATTGCAACCCGTATTGAAATAAATGTGCAGCAGTTTGCTGCTGTTTCGTGGCACCACGCCAGGTGTCCCCATCCCTCTGCCTAACGTGGCCCCTGGCCTGCAGCGTGAAGGGAGACCCTTCAAAAATGGCAGGTGAAGACAAGGAAGAAGTCCGGGGGGGAGAAGAACTGACTTGTGGATCAGCACTTCCCCTCCCCAGATCCTCTTTCATTCTTCTTCCCCCTGATATTGTCGTGCTCAGTATTCACCAGAATAATGTGATTAAGCATGCATTTTAAAAACATGTCAGATCATTTAAGCTCATCAAAAACTTTATGTAAAGGAGCTCTGACCTTCCCTGCTTGAACAAGGGCCACAGAAGCTCAAGAATTCTGCGTGAACCTGATCACCCCAACATTTACGTCTTTGCAAAGCCAGCTCGCCTTTGGAAGGTGCCCCAGAATACCAGCCCCAGCCTTAAACTGTCCCCTCTTTATGGAGAACATCCCCAACCTTCTTCCGGGAATGTTAGAAAGGAAATGCCAGCATCAACATGGCACTTGGGGCACCCATAGAAGGACTCATCTGCCTTGTGGGTTCTGGGGAAGCAGCTTCTCTGGAGCCAAGGCCCAATTTGGGGGTGGGCGGAGGGTCCTTGGGCCTCCCTCTCCTTTTTCCAACCTGCCCATGCTTTCCCACCCCTATTTTCGTCTTGTTTTTCTCACGACAGAAACTACGTTCTAGAGGGAAATCACGCAGAGCTGCATCAGCCTGTTGCTCCTCCGAGCTGGACACCGGTCTCTGGAAGCCAAAGGGGGCGCGGGGGGCGCAGAATCCGGCCCGGCCTTTGTCTCCGTCTCCCTGCAGTCCGTCGCCCTGCATATAAGGGGCTCGTGGTTCCCATGGGGCGCGCCGGCGAGCTCTGGCCCTCCTGTGCCACGGTGGGGCCTCCCTCGTGGCTCCAGGAGACTTCTGCTCCGGAGCTTTGGCTCTCCGGGCGGGGCAGCCACAGAAACGGACAGAGTTGCCCCTTCAGCTTCCAGACGGCCCTGACCCCCGCTGCCTCAGAACTGCAGCCACATCAAAGGCCCTGCAAGTTCCCGTTAGCGGAGGCGCCCAACCCGAGCGCGCACAGCCGCGACCTTCGCCCGCGCTTGCTTTTGAGCGGCGGCGGC